ACCAAAACAAAAATTTGGATCTGAGTTTACAGGTCAGAAGAATCTAGGCGCTGATTATTTGCCTCGAATTATTCAGAAAAATAACTTCGTGAAAATTTAGGCTGCTAACTTTTTGTTCTCCTAGTTCAAATAATACAACCAGCAAAATCTTTGCGCAGCCTGGAAAAGTAGGCTGGACCAAAGCGAAAACATATTGCACCGAGTGGAATTTTTTTCATTACTGTCTCGTGAATGGAAATTTTTTCTACCGCCGGCACAGGATATCCAGGAGAAAGCTACTTTCTGGGTCTGCATAAGACAAGGGAATATGTTGCAAAAATCCCATCTTCATTGCTTTTACAGTTCTAGGCTTTAATGATTCGGACAGACAAACGTATTAATGTAGGTACTTGTATGAACAACCATAATTTCGGCACGAAGAGGATTAATTTGATTCGAACAGACCACACAAAAAAGTGTGATTAACTACTTTTTTTCGGTTTCATCTCTTTAGCGAGGAAGCAAAGAATCTGTTTTCTTTTAAGAATGTTTCGAGTATTAGTTTACCATAATCCGGTCTTCCGGGATATTCAAAAACAGAGCTAGCTGTCGTTTTGAAATTTGATCCGGATAATGAGTTTCGTGGAACGTTTTCTCGAGGGTCATGCACTGTGCCTCAGTGAAAATTGTCCTCATACGTCGTTTTGCTAATGACTCTCCTGAATAAAAACAACACGTGCAATAATGTGGGCATGTAACTGAGATTGTCTGAATAGCATTGGCAAGCATTCTTGGTGCTGAAAAGATCTCAAGTCTATTTAAATCTGGATTTTAAAACGACTAACTGATATTAGCTCGCTGCTGCGCAAAAGTTGCGGAAATTTCTTTCCGCCATGAAGTCATTTTTTCGTCTGTTCCGACTAATTTTATTTGTCTCCTAAATAGGTGTTTGGCCTTTTCAAATTATCAACTGACTGGAGTTAATTTTAGCCAAACAGCCAACACGAAAAATGAAAAAAGAGCCACAACAAAGCAAATAAAAGTACTGTTGCTTGAATTGATTTATCCTTTGGTTTTGTATGTCTGAAAGTAAATTAACTTTTTTCATTCGCACTTTCCAGCGGTGTCAGATAGATTCGTCTCTATGCCGAGTAGCAGCGCCCCTACCTGTAGTAGTAAATAAATAAGAAAAAAAAGAAATCAGTGGCTTCCTCACTGGGATACGTTCGGACTAAGCACAACAATGGTTGCCCAGCCAACTAGCTGAGGTTCGCGGCAGAAATGTTGCGTTTTTACTGTCGACTAGGTAGGACAAGTTAACGCCCTATTTTCGGCGAACACTAAAATACAAAACCTTATTTCTGCTTGTACA